CATATTATCAATTATTTTAGGAAGCCTTGTGCAGTTCAGCCAATTGCTGAAATGGGGCAAAACCACTACATATGAAAGTGTCACACACCTGCTACATTACTGTTATTTAAAACATTTGTATGCCACCCAGTTGTGCCACAGCACCTCTGGGCGCCTCACAAGACAAGATAAAAACACAATAAAAACTTAATAAAAACCACAACACATTACACATTTAAAAACAACAATAAAATACAGCAAAAACACAAAATGAAGGTCTTATGGGAATTAGTTATTAATTTTTTTTTAAAGGAAGATCTTCACCTGGAGCTGAAAAGAAAGTAAGGAAGGTGCCAGGCAAATCTCCTTGGGGAGAGCATTCCAAGTAAGGGGAGCAGCTGCAGAAAAGGCCCTCCTCCTAGTGGCCATTCGTCTCACCTCCTTAAGGGATGGCTCACACAGGAGGGCCCCCCACACAGATCTCAAAGGTTGAGTAGGCACATACAGGTGCAGGTGCTCCCTAAGATAGCCAGGGCCTAAGCTGTTTATATGCTTTATATGTCAACACAAGCACCTTGAATTGGGCCATGGCTCAGAGCAACAGTCCCCTACGACTACCTTCTGCACTCGGCCAGCCAGGTAGGAGTGGAACCACTGCAAAGCAGTGCCTCCAAACCTGACCTCAGCCATCTTGTCCAGAAGGGCGCCATAGTTGATGGCGTTGAAAACTGCTGAGAGGTCAAGGAGAGCCAACAGGGTCACACTCCCCTGTCCTCTCTGCACAGGTCACCATACAGGGTGACCAAGCCCATCTCCATTCCAAACCCAGGCCTAAAGCCTGATTGAAATGGATCCAGATAATCCATAATCTCCAACAGTGCCTGCAACTGTCCGGCCACCACCCACTCCAACATCTTGCCCAAAAAGGGGAGATTAACAATGGGCTGGTCATTATCCAGGACCCCTGGATCCAGGCCTGACCTTTTAAGGAGTGATCTCACTACTGCCTCCTTTAAAAGGACAGGGACGACTCTCTCTGGACAGCCCTCTGGACCCAGGGCCAAACCCCATCAGATCTCCCAATCAACCAATATGGGCAAGGGTCAAGAAGGCACATGGTGAATCGGACAGAGCCAAGCAGCTTGTCCACACATTGCAGTTGTGATGGTCAATCTGGACAACAAAGTTGTCACTTGATCCTTCTCAAGTGCTGAACTTGCAGGTGGAAAGAGAAAGGCCTAACTCAAAGTTTTTTTCTTTGTAACATTTCCCTTTGAAGATGTTCATTCTTAACCACAAATCATGCCATCCGAAGCCAGTCCAGGTGAATTACATTCCAGATACCTGACTTTGGCTCTCACAGCAATCATAAAAGAAGAACACCATGGGTAAAAAGTAATGCATTTTGCGAAAGAACATAAAAAGGTTCAAAAATGGAAAAACATTTTAATACAATTATGCCATTTTACAGTCTTATTATTTTTATTTATATTGTATTGATTTTATAATAAACATGGCAACCAATTAAAATTAACAAAGAGTCTTATAGCACCTAAAGACTAGCACATTTATCACAACATAAGTTTTTATTGTTTAAAACCATTCCACAAGCATATTTTTCCATCCATTACTTCCAAGACTGATCTTGCAGTTTCAGCCTCCTGCTAAAGTTCTTTTCTGTTAAGGACATTGGATCCTGTTGGGAACCCGCTATGTATTCTGTCACAAAAACATTCCCAATCATACTGACATTGTATATCCATCAAAAGAACAAAAAAGTGTGACAGAAGGAAAATGAAATAATGGAGAGAAGGGAAAAAAGAAGAGTGCAAGAGTGCAAGGGAGCAAGATAGAAATTTATGGATAGTGTTGTAGGTTCATCGTGATAACAGCAACACCATGAGAATTTTGTCGGTTAATCTGAGGTTTTATTCTTCATGAAAGCACCTTAAGACAATGTTTACCGATGTTTCCTGTGGCAAATACCTACAGTGCGGATGAGAGAGGAACATTTACAGTGTAATCCTATGGATGGCTGCTGTTATATGCCATCATGTCATCTCCAATTTATGGCAAGCCTATGAATGAATGCCCTTCCAAATGTTCAGTCCTTGGCAGCCCTGCTCAGCTCTTGTAAACCTAAGGCTGTGGTTTCCTCTATGAAATTGATTCATCCCACATTTAATCTACCCTCTTCCTTCAATTTTCCCTAGCATTATTGCCTTCTCCAGCAAGTCTTACCTTCCCATGATGTGCCAAAGTACAGCAGCTTCAGTTTTGTCTTGTTTGCTTCCAGGGAAGGTTCTGGATTGACTTGATCTACGACTGACCATGGTTCATGTTTTGAACTCATCACTTATCCTTGACTTGGTTTTGACCAACAGGGAGGACCTGATAGATGGGGTAGAGATAAGGGGAGCCCTGGATGGAGTGGTCACTCTATCCTTTCCCTTGAGATCACAGGAATGGGGATGTGCAGCAGGTCGAGTACTAGAAACTGGGACTTCAAGAGGGCCAACTTTGGCCAATTGAAGGCCAGACTGGGGAAAGTCTCCTGGGATAGGTTACTGGAAGACAAGTGAGTTGAGGAGGGGTGGATGGCACTCAAAAGGGAGGTTTTGGAGGCTCAAGCCTTGATGATACCTCTAGTTAGTAAGGCGGGGAGGTGAAGGAGAGCACCACCATGGATGTGAAAGGAGGTGGTAAGAGGGATTAGGCGCAAGAGGAACCTCCATAGGAAATGGGCACTGGGGCAAAGAGACAAAAGGGTATAGCAGGGAGAGGAGGCCCATTGCAGAAGGATTCTTCACAAGGCTAAGGTTGATTACGAGCTGAGACTTGCCAAGAATATCAAGATCAACAAAAAGGGCTTCTATCAGCATGTAAACAGCAAGAGGAAGGAGAGACAAGTAGTGGGATCACTAAATAAGGAGGAAGGAGATCCAGTGACTGATGTGAGGGAACAGGCACAGATGCTAAATGACTATTTTGCCTCTGTGTTCTCCCCAAAGCAGGATGGGGGAGATCTGCATGGGAGATTAGATGAGACTGGGGCACAGATTAGAGTCAACCCCCTAGAAGTTGAGGGGCTCCTCAGGGCACTGGACGTTACAAAGGCGCAAGGCCCTAACGCACTACACCCGATTGTACTTTGAGAGTTGGAAGGTATTCTCTCATGCCCGCTGGCCTCCATTTTTGAGGCCTCATGGAGAATGGGTGAAGTTCCAGAGGACTGGAGGGTGGCGTCAGTGGTCCCAATTTTCAAAAAGTGTAGTAGAAGGGACATGGAGAATTACAGACCAGTTAGCCTTATGTCCATTGTAGGAAAAACAATGGAAAGGCTCATAATAGTGAGAGATCTGGTGATGCTAGATAGGGAACGGAGGATGGCAGCCACACAACACGGCTTCCACAAAAACAGGTCCTGCCAGACAAACCTTGTGAAAACTCTACGACAAGGTTTCAGGGTGGCTAGATGGAGTGGGTGTGGTTTACCTGGATTTCAGCAAGGTCTCTGACAAAGTGCCCCATGATATCCTGGTTGAGAAACTGATGAGTTTTGAGATAAACTGTTTTAATAAATAAATAAAAATAAAATAAAATAAACCAATGCACTGTCTGATGGATTAGGGCATGGTTGACTGACCAAAAGCAGAGGGTAACCATTAGTGGGGAATCATCAGGAAGATGGCCAGTGACAAGTGGGATCCCCCAGGGCTCTCTCCTGGGGTCGATCCTCTTTAATCTTTTCATCAACGACATGGAAGAAGGAGTGAACAGTCTGATCAAATTTGCAGATGATACTAAAATGGGGGCAGTGGCTACAACTGAGGAGCAGGAACTCCAGACCCAAAAGGATCTGGACAGACTATGGAAGTGGGCAGGAGACAACAGGATGGCATTCAATGTGGATAAGTGCAAGGTCTTGCACTTGGCGCATAGGAATAGGTGTCATAAGTACAGGTTAGGGGACAAGTGACTGGAGAGCAGCACTTGTGAAAGGGACCTCAAGGTGCTGGTTGACTGCAGGCTAAACTTGAGTCAGCAATGTGATGCGGTGGTCAAGAGGGCAAACGCCACCCTTGGTAGCATAGCCAGAAGTGTGGCTTCTAGATTGCGAGAGGTATTACTATCACTCTATACAACTCTGGTGTGCCCGCAACTGGAGTATTGTGCTCAGTTTTGGGCCCTTCATTACAGGAAGGATATAGCCAGGTTATAGTCAGTGCAGTGTAGGGCCACAAGGTTGGTGGCCGGTTTGCAGGGGATGGGGTATGAGGCGAGACTGAGGGAACTGGACTTCTTCAGCCTGGAGAAGAGAAGACTCAGAGGGGATATGTTGGTGACATACAGGTTTGTGAGGGGATGTCACATGGAGATGGGTAGAGATCTATTCTCCCCTGCAGAGGAAGGCAGAACGCGCTCCAGTGGAGCAAAGCTCAGGGAACCAAGGTTCAATTTGGATGCCAGAAAGTACTTCCTGATGGTTAGGACCCCAAGGGTATGGAATGGGCTTCCACAGGAGGTGGTTGAGGCCCCATCGGTGAGGGTGTTCAAGGATAGGCTAGACATGCACATGGCGGGCAGGTCGTGAGCGGAGCCGGCTAGAGCTGGGGTCAGACTAGCTGTTCTGGGAGGCCCCTCTTGACTTGCTCTGTTTCTATGCTCTGTGGATGATCCAAACCACTGTGACTCTGATTGTCTACTCAGAAGTAAATGCCACTGAATTTCACGGGACTTATTCCAAGTCAAATAGATATAGGATTGGAGTGTTAAATGCCCATGTATGTGTGTCTGAATAAGCAGTGGTTTAAACATGGTTCAAGATATATGTATATTAATTTTTTAAGACAAGTGCATACTCTTCACATTTTGGTTGATGCCAGAAGAACCAGTACAAAATGCATAGATTAGATTTTGCAAGAAAGAGCTGTACTACTAGAAATTATTTATTACAAGTGTATTGTTTATTAAAAACTTTTAGTTATTATTATGCTGTCTTTTCCCCATCTCCACTTTAGTCATTTGAAAGAGTTTTGGTCGAGAACAAGCTTCATGGTCTTTCTCCAGCCCTTTCTGAAGCCATCCAGAGCATTTCTCGCTGGGAACTGGTCCAAGCTGCCTTGCCACATGTACTTCACTGCACAGCCACTCTGCTTTCAAATAGGAACAAGTTAGGTTAGTGTGCATGTTCGATTTTTTTAAAAACAACGATTGTTTGATATTATGGTACAAATATGATTAAATTATGTTTGGTGTGGTTTAGAAGTGTTCTCAAAGAATGAGTTGAGCAACCCTAAGCAGTTGCTAGTGGATAGCCAGGTTTGCATGGCCACTGGGGAGCCATGGTGGTTTCTTTTCCTTACCCCCAGTGCCATTCACGTACTGTATGCCTAACTGCTCTCAAGGCGTGGGCTGCCATGTTGTCCAACCCTAGGAAGGAACCCAGCATGGGTGACTTTCAAACCACCTCAGAACCCATGGCTTACTGTAGTGCTGTTGCCAAGTTCTAGAGCAGTGTGGAAGCTACTCCTATCACACAAATCAATGAGCTTGAACAGAATGGCAGTGGCTTTTTTTCCTAGTGATCGTGAAAACTTGGCCAATGTATAGGAACCCCCAACCCCTTTTCCACTCAGCTTCTAATTGGACCAAAAAGCCCTCCTGTAGACCCTCTTCTCGGTCCCTGTCATTCTTGCCATTGAGCATATGCAAAGAGTTGCATCATTATCCCAACTATTTGCCCCTTTTTTAAGGAGTAAAAACTGTTCTAGATAGAAAAAAGCAGAGTAGGAATGAGGTATGGGGGAAAGGATGTTTAAATCTTTCCTTGCCTGCCACCTCCCCACTCAGTTGCCCTTTAAGCAGCTTTTCCTCTCCATGGGATTCCAGATACCTGCTTCACCTCATCCCAAAAGAAAATTCCATCCATTTGTCATCTGACATGATCTTCACTTCTTCTGATGCCCATCTCCCCTTGATGATCTGATGGGCATGTGAAGCAGGCTAATACAAGGAAGCTGTGACTATTGGAGTTTGTTATCTGAATCTCCCAATAACTCCAGTTGGACTGACTGGAATTTTCAGCTACTAATTATATGTATGAAGAGGAATTACTAAATTTATTTTGCTCCTTTTCAATTATTTATTCATGCATTGAGTATATTTCTATGCCACTCATTAATATAGTAATAAATCAAAAGCATAATCATTAAAACAAAACATAAAGCTCTGGTTTAAAGTTTAAAAGTACAGTTTAAAATAAAAACAAATTTTTAGCAGCAATTCAAAGATTTAAAATGCAGTAAGGGCACACTCCTAAGACTGCTTGTCTGCCTTGCCACAGGAAAGGCGGAGTCCCTGCTGCCCCCTCAGAAAAGCCTTCCAAAATCACTGCAGGGTCTCTTGCTCTGTAAGAGCCCTGCTGCCCCCTCAGCAGCTGCTGGAAGTGCCTTCCGAGACCAAGACACCAACACCACCTGCTGATTCCAGGCAGCATCTTGGCCTCTGCTCTTCACAAGGAGGGGGATAAACTGAGATGGCCATCCAAGTATTTCTGAGGGGGGGGGGGAGGGGAATGGAAGCAACCCCAGCCTCCATGCTTCTCCTAACTCCATTGAATGACCATAACTTTCCAGACTCAGACAGTTATAGGCAGCCATATAGTAGGATTGAACCTATCAACCTATATATCAACTGAAATATTGAATTTCCCTGGAAAATAGAAAGGTCTTCAGCTGGCCATGGAAAATGCACAGGGTTGGTGCCAGACAAATCTCACTGGGAAGCTCATTCTGCAGCTGGGGTGCCACAACAGAAAAGGCCCTCTCCTTAGTAGCCACCACTCTTACTTCCTTTGGCAGTGGTTGCCAGACAAAGACCAGTGAGGCAGGCATAGGGGAGGAGACACTTCAGGTAACCATGCCTCAAGCCATTTAAGGCTTGGAATGTAAATACCAAGACTTTGAAGTAGGCTCAGGCATAGAATGGCTGCCACTGCACATCGTAAAAGCACTGGCATTATATGATCACATTTGGCAGTTCCCATTGGACCAGCTGAAGTTTCCAAACCATTTTCAAAGGCAGCCCCACATATAAAACATTGCAGCAGGCCATACAAGGATTGCCAAAACGATTATCCATTTACCCTGGATAAGTGTAGCTAGACTATCTCTGTCCAGGGAAGGACAGAACTGGCATTTTAGAGCACGCAGTTAGAAAGTGCCCCGACCACCAAGTCCACTCGTGTCTCTAGGGACAATACTGGATCCAAGAGCACCCCCAAAACTAAAACACAAAAGTCAAAACTAAAGTTTATCCACACAATGTACAATCTGCTGTATGCAGAAATGATATGCTCCTTTTCCAGGAGTTTTCAAGCTTTGTTTCACTTATGTACTCCGGCTGGAAAGTCAGTTGGGAAACACTTAACTTCTGTACAGTCCACACAATATTAAATTGATCATGTTGTTCTTGTTGTTGTTGTTGTTGTTGTCATTAATTCATTTCTTTTCTATACCATTCCATAGCTGAAGTTCTCTGGGAAACTTACAACAATGCATACAAGTAAAATAAAATAAAAATATCAAAAATCTCATCAAAAGAAACACTGAAAAAATAAACAATAACCCTTTAAAAATGCCTAGGATGGGTAATCCCCTCAAGCTCATGGGCAATTAAGTTAATATGTAAAAGCCCCAGCAAAAGGGAGGCATTCCCTCACCCCAGAGTTGGTGCTGTGGTCAGGGCACAGGGTCAAAGAGGGAGGGGCATAACAAGGGATTTGAGAACAGAGAGAAAATTGGAAAACAGGCATTGAGGACAATGTGGTGTTAGGCTGCTTTAGGAAAGGCCCTGCCAAGAGCCAACAGATGGTGGAAGCGTGGGCAAGGGCTAGCGAGCCCAGTGGATAGCTGGGGAGACTCTCACCTTAGGGAGCAGCAAGGAGGAAGGCAGGGAAAGGAAGGTCTGTGGCAGGTGAGGGAGGCTGGGAGAGCCTGTAGTTCAGTGTGGTGGGACACAAGCTTGCAACATACAAAGTCCTGGGTTCAATCCCCAGCATCTCTGCAGGTAGGGTAGGAAAGCCTCCCACCTGAAAGCCAAGTGAGCTGCTGGCAGTCACTGCTTACAGTACTTGGCTGGATGAGCCAAGCGTTTGGCTCAGGATATGGCAGCTTCCCCAGCAAATTTCTCTCCTTTGCTTCTTGAAAGCAATTAGAGAATGCTGCATTCAAGTAGGGTTTGGAGCTCAGAAAGAAAGAGTCAGGCACAAAAATGAATATGTCATACATGCCTGACAAAACAGAGAGGCTTATAATTCCTTTGTAAGATGCTTCTCCTTACATTGTCGGTAGTAATATACTGTATTTTTCTGTGTATAAGATGATACTTTTTCTTAAAAATATTTACCTAAAAATAGAGGGGCCTTATACATGGGGGGCTGAGAGGAGAACTGCGGGTGCGCTCGTGGGGGGAGCTGGCACAATTGAGGGCGCGATCAGGGGGGAGACAGGCGTGGCCGTGGGCTGATCGGGGGGGAGATGGGCACAGGCGCGATGGGGGGGGAGTGGGCAGGCGCGTGCGTGCGGGGAGGCGGTGGGCATAGCAGCAGCAGCTTGCTTGCTCAGAGATTGGTAAGAAAAGTGGGGGGCATCCTATACATGGGGGCATCTTATAGTCAGAACAATATGGTAGTTAGATTTCAAATGAAACAGTTAGAGAACCCAGCAGATCACGGTAAGAATGTTGCGAAGGTACAGAGAAGTTTTAGGAAAGGGTTTGCCATGTGTTGCCATTCCACAACAGTCTTGTGAAGCTGGCTAGTTGCACACTTCTTCTGATTGGCAGGAGGTTTCCATTATCTCCTGTTCCCTCTAACTCTGGGTGGGCCTATGAGCTGGCTGGGCTGTGGCAGTGGCAGCTGTGGCCTCCAGTCACAACAGGCCTGCGATCTGCTTTTCCTTTACTTCACCATAAGAGCAAATAGATAAATGCAAAGTAGATAGACCTGAGTAACTAGGAAGGTGGAGAAAAAGGCTTGTCTGGGAATTGCCAGAGGCTCATGCTTGAACTCCAGGTCTGTCTTGAAAGAAGATGTTTATTAAAGGAATGTGATAAGATACAAAAAGGGAAAACAGTGCAGCTTACTTGAAAATACACAAAATGAAAACTTTGACAGACATTGAGGTAAAAGACAATGCTGGAGTGCTCTGGAGAGTTGCATCAAGCACAGCCTATTCAGGTGGTCACAGGGACCAGAGTGATGAAGAATCATATTCATTTGTATTATATTTGACTGTGAGGGCAGTTAGGGATGCCCAACTAACTTCTCTGATCAGAGGAGTAGCAGATAAGCAGGAAAAGCTTCTTCCGACATTCTGACTATTAAGGTGTTAAACTAAGGAGATGGCTTTGGCTATTTCTGGGAGGTTGGATGCAGCAACAAGCTGCCGGTGCTGTGGATCCTGAAGCTGCAGAAAAGGCTGCAGCTTCCAAGTGCGTTATTTCAAGTATGCCATGGAGGCGAACTTCCTCATCAAAGATGATTGTAGCTTAAATAAACGTGAAAACACTGCTCCGTGTCATAAGGCCATTAGTCTCTGTTAGTGTGATTACAGTTTAAAAAACAATTAAAATGAAATCTTATGCAAGTTTGGACAGGAAAAAAGTACCACTCCCAGCATGCCCTAAGCAGGGTATTCTGAGTGATGTAGGCCTTTTTTCTGTCTGAATTTGGCTAGTATTTCACCTTTAAAGTGTATTTGCAATAGAAAAACCACCAAATCCTGAGACACAAGAAGCAATACAGAACTTTTCAGTCATCAGACTGAAAACCATAACAGGCCATTGCTTCGGCCTGGAGTAAACTGTTTAAACTTTTAATTTAATTCTGATAATTTTTGAATCAAGCCCTTAGAAATTATGTGTCACGTTGCAATAAAAAAGGAAATTAAAATATGGCTTATGAAATTATCAAGCCAAATGCTGTCTACCAGTCATGCGCTTGACAGAGGCAGCAAATAGAGGAATTTCATTGAGCCTTTAGCTGCCCCTTATCTAGTAATCTGCTTGCCTTTTCTGGTTTACAAGCTGAGCAGACCTTTGTCTCAGGGTGTATTGAATGATCAAGGGCCCATAATACTTTTATTTATTATTTTTTGCATCTAGGACATCAGGACAAACTTGGAGTAGCAGAGACAAAGCTCCTTCACACTCTGCACTGGATGTTGCTGGAAGCACCTCAGGACTGCAGCAATGACCACTTTGGTGGAGGAGGAGTGGGAGGAGACAGGGGATCCAGCTGGAGGGGCAGCAGCAGCGCATTCATCCACCAGATTGAAAACCAGGGATCTCCAGGACATCCAAGGCATGACAGTACCAATGAAGAGGAAGAAAATAACAGAAGGAAGTTTTTTCAGAATTCCATGGCTACCGTGGAGCTCTTTGTGTTCCTGTTTGCTCCTCTGGTTCATAGGATTAAAGTAAGTGCTTCAAGAAAATAGATGGGAAGCTGTGAAGGAAAGGATATGCCGTGATAGTAGTAGGAACAGGTTCTCCCTACAGAAAGCTCTAGATTTCCATAGTGGTGCATGAAGCATGCAAGCAAAACTTGTTTTTTCCACATCATGTGTGTTATCCAGTGGTATTTTTCAGGAGGCTGCATGCTAAGGTAAAATATTTAAGCACAGCTAACCAAAGTTGGACAATTGAATCTATCCTTGGGTAGTGGCATTGGCCTCTTTTTTCCTCAAAGAGTTTGTGTGCTTTTAGCAGAGGGAGGTCAGCAGTACAGCTTTTATCTTGGTCCTCTTGATTTGCTGCCTGCTGTGCAGCTGTTAAATGCACAGAGCCACTTTCAAGAAAATACCACAAGCCTCTTGGGATGTGGTCTTATTTTCCACTAGTGTTGTGTCTTGAAATCCACCCAAAATTCAGTAGTGACAGTATCTCTTTTCACCTGCCCCACCCGTTTTCCCTCCTCACACATGACCCTGGTTCTGCTCCCCTACCCACCCCAGCATACACACATACAGATATACAAGCTTGATTCAGAGCATGCTAATGTGGGCAACGTGTTCCTCCAGATGTTGGATTGCAACTCCCATTGATGATGATGCTAGCTAGGGCTGATGGAAGTTGCAGTCTACTAACAATATTTAGAATCAGACTGTTCAGTAAAAAGAGAATATTCAAATATGATCATCAAGTGGAACAGGAAATGGACGATGATGCATTTTTATGACACCCTGGTTTAATTTAATTATGATGGCTGTCACACTTTTGCTTAGCACCCATGGGCACCTGGCTTGCTATGGTGCTTGAATCCAGACTGCAGACAAGCAAACAACCATAAAACAAACTATGGGTTATTCAGGGCTGCCTAACCCTTAAATAACTTCTGCTGTCATGGCAAGCTGGGGCATCCATGCAGAAATGGTACCAATGATACCATGCAAAAATAGTACCCATGTACCCATAGCACAATGGAATAGCCTCTAAATGAATGAATGAAAGAATTCAGAGGGGGCTGTCATGTCATGTGAGGCAGATCAGGATCATCATTCGTCATTAGATCACACCAACAAACCCAGTTATGTTGACATTTCCTTATGATTTTTAGGAATCTGATCTGACTTTTCGTCTGGCCAGTGGCCTTGTTATTTGGCAGCCAATGTGGGAGCACCGGCAACCTGAAGTTACTGCCTTTACTGCACTGGTTAAACCCATCAGGAATATAATCACAGGTGTGTGGTTGTGTTATATATGTGTTATATGTGAAAAATGTTAACAGATGGAAGGTGCTTTCTTTCATACAAAAATTGCCATTTGACCTCCTTCTGTTGTTGTTGTTGCTGGACATTTGAGATTGACAGGATAGAAGAAGAGTGATAGAGGATAAAAAGAGAAGAGAGATAAAATGAGGAGGCTTCTTACTCTTGCTTACATTATTATGCTGACTTTCATAGGGGGATGGAACACAAAAGTTGTAAATAAAGCATATTCCAATGTCATGGGAGAGTTTGGAGCAGAAGTATGACACAAAGCAGGAGAACAACTCATAGAATCCTGTGAAGCCAGCCATATGTTTGTTGTAAATATGTTCTTCGGGCAACTGGTCACATCACTGTACACAAGGGCATTCCCAGACAGCCATACAGAAATCAAATAGACTTTGTAATTGGAAACAGATGACAGAGAAGCTGTATTGTTACAGCCAAAACAAGACTAGGAGCAGACTGTGGTGGTGACTATGAACAGATTTGCATTACTGAACTCAACTGACCATGAACCAGAAGAACTCTGGACAAGAACTAGAGACATTCTTAGGGAGAAATGCAAAAATAAAATTTTTAGAGTAAAAAGAAAGAAAAAGCCTAGATGGATGAGAGGAGGTAACATTCACAATTGCCAAGGATAGGCAAGATGCAAAAGGTAAAAGAAATAGGGATTAAAATCCTGAATGCAACTTTTCAGTGACTATCACTTAGAGACGAAACAAACTATTACAATGGTTGGTACAAAGGAATAGAGGAGAACCACCAAAGAGGTAAAAAAGGAAACACTTCCAGAAGATCCAAGCAATCAAAGAGAAATTCAATCCTAGCTTAGGAAAAGCTGAAAGACAAATATGGGAACAGACAATCTGACTTGGCTAGAATAAAGAGAAGATGGAAACAATATACAGTAGTCCCCCGAAATTTGTGGGGGTTACATTCCTAAAGCGCCTGTGAATTGTGAAAAACCGTGAATTTGGTGCCGGCGATGGGCACCGGCCGCCAAGGCGGTACAGGCGGAAGGCGCGGGCCGGGCTGGGCTGGGGGGTGGGCATGCACGCATGGTGAGGCAGGGAGTCCAGTCTCGGAGGAAACAATCTCCAAATGAGTAAGCCGCCGCACGGCCAGGCTCTGTCTTACTTGCAAGGAGATTGGCTTGGACTCGCTCGGAAAAAAATCCCACAAAAGACTGAAGCCGTGAACACTGAACCGCAACGTCACAGGGGTATACTGTACAGAAGAAATAAAAAGATGGCAGACTTCTTTGGAAAGGAACCCTGTGAGGGAGAACTAGTAATATTAGGCAGTGAAATGAAAGCTACTCTGAAAGCACCTGGAATAAAGCACCCATAATAGAGAGAGCACCAATAGCATTATTTCAAGCTGCAGAGAGTGAATGAGTCCAAATCCTAACAAAATATTATCAACAGATATGGAAAAAAAGGCAATGACCCACAGACTGCAAATGCTCAATATACATTCCAATCTCCAATATTGAAAAGAGTGCAGCAACTATAGTTTCCTGGCACTAATTTCTATGCAAACAAAGTTGGGACAAACAATGTTACCATATATGGTGCTAGAAAAACCTGATACTCAGGCTGGATTCCGAAAGGGAAGAGGCATCAAAGAATTTCAGAAAAAGTTCACTCTGCGCTTTGTAAGACTACGTCACAGTTTTTAACTGTAGGGTTCACAAGAGACTATGGATAGTCCTGAAAGAACTGAGTGTGCCTCAACACTTGATTGTCCCGATGTATAACATGTATCATGGACATGAAGCTACTGTTTAGACAGAATATGGAGAAACAGAATGGTTTCCTATAGGCAAAGGATTCAGACAAGAGTATATTTTATCTCAGGATTATCTGTTCAGTCTGTACACAGAGCATATGCTAAGGAAAACTGGATTAAGATTTGAGGAAATAGGAATGAAAACTGGTGAAAGATACCTCAATAATTTAAGATATGCAGATAATACCATATTACTGGCAGAAAACAGCAGCAAACGGAAGTGACTCCTGATGAAAGTGAAAGAAGGAAGTGCAAAAGGAGGAATGTAGCTGAACATGAAACATTAAAAAACCAGTAGTCATGACTACAGAAGAATTACAGATCTTTACTGTCAATAATGAAGTAATTGAAATTGTGAAAGATTTTGCATAATTTGGCTCAAATCAGAGACTGCTGCCAAGAAATTAAAAGAAACTGAGACTTGGAAGGAATGCAATGAACGAACTAGAAAAGTATAAGGACATTTCACTGGAAACTAAGGCCAATACACTATTGTATTCCTGATCGCTATGGATGGGTATGAAAGCTGTACAGTGAAGAAAGCTGGTTGGAAAAAAAAAAAGATATGTCTGAAATGTGGTGGTGGAGGAGAGCTTTGAGAATACCCTGGACTAATGGAAAGACAAATAAGTGGGTCCTAGTTTCAATCAAGCCAGAGCTTTCCCAAGAAGCAAACATGATACAATTGAATCTGTTGCGCTTCAGACACTTCATAAGAAGGTAAGACTCACTGAAAAAGGGAGTCACGGAAAAAGTCACTCGCTGAAAAAGTCAGAAGACAAGGGGAAGATCAATTATGAGAACAATCAGTCGCATTAAGGAAGCCACAACCTTGAGGTTACAAGAGCTGAACAGGGCTGTCAAGGACAGGACATTTGGGGGACATTAATTTATAGGGTCAGCATAAGTCAAGAAAGAATTCGATGGCATGTAATAACAACCCTCTCTGTACCACCCAACAGCTGAAGCTCTAAGGGCAGTTTACAAGGGCACATAAAATACAATAAAATGCAATATAAATATACCTAACAATAACAACCACATAAAAATTGCAATACAACATTTACAAGCAAGCTTTTCCACCTGTTTCCGGAAGCTGTTTCAAGAAAAGTATAAAGAGTTCTGAAACAGTTTGGGAGGGCAAATATTGAGTGAGGGGCAGAGCAGTAAGACAGAATGGAAACAGATTCCTGGAGACTGTATTTCTTTCTCAGCGCAGTTATAAAACATAGAATATAAAAGAATTTGGATTTTACTTCAACACTAGCTGCCTCCAGCACACCTGAGGGCAGTAAGGTGGCTTAAAACATACAGATCTGCCCTCCAACACCACTCTGCCACAGCCTGCCACTGAATTTTCCCCTTGAGGAGGCTGCATCACTCTGTTTAAAGACAGCTGGCCATGTGATGCTGGAATGGGACACAGCTATGTTGCTAGTTCTTCCCATGAGTGCATCCAGCAAGCATGTAAGCAATAGAAGAGCACTTAGTAATCCCTATAATAAAAGTTTCAGAGGTGTTCTCCAGCAGTCCTCCTCCTCCTCTTCCTCCTCCTCCTGCTCTTCTTATCATCATCATATATTACATTGCATTTATATCCTACCCTTTTCCCCTGGTGAGGAACCCAAGGCAACCTACACAGTTCTATTTTATCCTCGCAACAACCACCCTGTGAGGTAGGTTGGTCTGGGAGTTCATGACTGATCCAAAGTCACCCACAGTGGGCTTCAAAGCTGAGCAGGGACTAGAACCTGGATCTCCCAGGTCCCCCATCCCCGCAACCACCGCGTCACACTCTAGCTTCTGCTAAAGGACATCTCCATCTGAGGGGAAGCACTGCTTCATTTTGGATTCAACATTTACCGAGGCTCAGAGACTCTAAGACTTCTAAGTACATTAATACCAACCTCAAATTAACTGTCATCAGAGAAGTCTACTTCTTCCCTCCAGGCAGCACAAGGCCTCCTAGCACTACCTCTCCCAGTATTAGCTCTCAGTTCGTCAACAGTATTTTGCATACTGTTTACCACAGCAACATAGGATTTGGACTTCAGTTTCTATAAACCAGGGTTCTCTGGCCCACACAGGTGTATTAACTGAAGAGAATAGTCTCATATGAGCAACTAGAAGCAAGGAGCTTGATTTATTTTAAAATACAGTGGTACCTTGGCTCACGAACTTAATCTGTTCCAGGACTCTGGTTAAATTTCCCCATAAGGTTCAATGTAAATAAGGTTAATCCGTTCTGTAACCATATTCTTTAATCAGAAAAATGTGAAACAAAGTGACAAAGAACAACAAAGATTTCAGCCATCTCTCCCTCTGCTCCTGCCAAGCAGGAGCATGGCCATCTCCCCCCACCCAGCACGACCGGGATCGCACCCGTCATCCCTGCATGTGCCCGTCATCCCGGTGCGCTGCGGAGGGAAAGATAGGCGCAGGGTGGGGGTGGGGAAGAGACAGGCACGAATGGGGAACGCTGGGGGATGGAGAGGGGTGCGAACGGGGCGTGCTGGGGGAGGGAGAGACAGGCGCGATCGCAGCCATCTCCCCTCCCTGCTCCCAGCACGATCACAACCATCTCTCCCCCCCTTGCCCCCAGCATGATCGCGGCCACCTCTCCACTTGGAGGGGGTAGAGAGATGGCTGCGATCGTGCTGGTTGGGGGAGGAGGTGGCTGAGATTGCGCCCGTCTTTCCTGCACGAACAGAACTGTGATCATGACCATCTCCCAACTTGGGGTGGGGTGGGGAGATGGCTGCAATGTATTTATTTATTTATTTAGGGAACTTCTATGCCGCCCCATTCGCCGAAGCCTCGGGGCGGCTCACAAACATACTTGGTTGCCACCCAATGTGGAGTTCACGACCCACATCAAAATTTTCATTAAATTTTTGTTCGCAACCCAATTTGGTTGTGAATCAAGGCGTTCGTGAGCCGAGGTACCACTGTATATACCCCCGTGAAGCCCAAAGACAATTTCAGAGCTGCTCAGTTTGCACAGTGTGAGTACTAACAAGCTCTTTAATTTTCCAGCCAAGAGAAGTTCTCCGATCAAAAACCAGACCCTGACATGTGAATCTCCTAATCTGGATGCTGGGCGTACCGAGGTAATGACTGAGGCTAGACAGAAAGTAATGAGGCAGGAGGGATAAGCTGAGTGCACTGAGTGAGGGACATTTCGCTCAAGGTGCCTCCAGAGGGAAGTCTTCCAGCACTCCCAGTCAAAAAACACCATGCAGCCACCCGTTTCCTTTGGATGTACCTTTGTCAAGGAGACCAGTCAACTGATTCAGTTCCCACCCAGACTCAAGAGTATCATGTAAATCTTTCATCCCTTCTGCCTCCCCTGGGTTTGGGCGCTCCTAGAATGGAAATGAGCAGGCGGACTGTACCACTGACTGCAGAGGAGGTCTCACCAGACAGAATGGAACTCTGTGCAGAAAAATCCCCTAGAGAGGGAAAAACTGCATACACAGAAAAAAGGTTCTATTATGTATAATAATGTTTTTGCAATGATTAGACTTTAAAAGTGGTATAGAAATACAATAAATGAAGTACATATATTAAGTGAAGGGAGCCCTTATCTGCAGCCTGTTGTGGTACAGTCTAGGTGCAAGCTCACCAGCTCTTCAGAGCCCTGTAAAAACTAGTCTTTGCTTTATTAGGGTTTTAAATAGGAAGAGTATATCTCCAAGCTTCCTATAAATTTGCTTTCTCCTATTATTCTCAAAGATTTACTGGGAGATTCATAGTATCTGCATTACATAGCTAGAATAATCAGACAATCGGATCTTTGAGGTTACTGATAAGTTTTATTTATCTATTTAAAAGACTAAAGGTATTTTTTTCTGTTTAAATCTGCTGGTGGGGGTATCATATGTTTGAATGTTCCTCTCTGCATAAAGCAGTCCCTACACCTAGAAAGGTAGCACATGAGGGGAAAAGGTTGATCTTTCAAATTTAAATAAAGTTTAACATAATGGTATTTCAGAGAATGGGGGTAATAGTTTGAGCTATGCAGTCATCAGTCATTGTATTCCTTATGAAGCTTTTTTTTCTCTTTAAACTAAGGTCTTGCTCTGTATTCTGTATGCTTTTCTGGAATTCTCATATTCCAGAAAAGCAAATTATACATTTTATGTGTATTTCTTTTTGTGAAAAAAAAATCTACAGGGACTGCAGGTAGTGTGTGAAACAGCCCAGCCAGACTCCATGCCTCTGAAGCCTGCTTTTTCAGGCTGTCACCGTGGAAACTCCATTGAGGGAAGTGTCTCATCCCAAGCATCCCAGGAGAAAGGACCACCATATCCTAGGTACAATTCAATTTGTAGAGGCAGATGTTGTTCCTCATCTCTTTCTGTCTTTGTCTCACACACTCATACTCACATGTGCACACTCTAGTTCATAGTTAAATAGATCTACAGTCAAATAGATTCCTGCTCTAAATGCTATGAAAGGAGACTCCCAGCTGTCTGGCTGAATTTAAAATGTATCTTTTGAAATAGATTTGGAATATGAATCAAATGTTGTAGCACATGCATTAACGTTTGATTTTTTTTTTCCTGTTACTGATCCTTCAGGACCTCACTTGACATAATGACCAGTCTCATGTGATTACAGAGGGGGAAATAGACCCTTGTGGTGTGTTCCAGGGGGATTTCCATAATCTTTCTCACCTATGTGACTTGGCTTGTCATATGAACCAGGCTAGGGTGGTTTGTTGTCATGGTTAACAAGCTATCCAGCACCCTAAAACGTTTCTGTTTTTGGTGGCTCTTTAAAGATGGCAACAGCCATGCATGCTGGGATCACACAACACAGCAAGCATCATTGCTGAGAATAATTATTGTATACCTATCCCCCAATACATTACTGGTATGAGAGTAAGGGATATAAGCCACTGTGGCTTATTTCCCCCTCCATGATCCTGTGAACAGGCCCCCAAATGTGCTTTGATAGTGGTGCCAAAGTGGTGGTGTGGGGAACAACTCTTTTGCATCCCACAGTGCTGCTCCAATGGCCCAGCAGCCTTATTTACAATTGTCCTTCTGTGAGCCTTCAGCCCATTTGCTTGTCTCTTCCTTTGCCAACTTTCATTTTGGGGCCTGGCTGCTAGCATCTCTTGTTGGAGCACTTAAGGAGAAAGTCCTTTCAACCAAGCTGAGTAAAGCTGAATGATTCAGACAAGTCAAAGACGATTTATATAAGTAACAGTTTATTTGCAAGATGCTTAGGCACACATCTTATTCTTCATGAAAATATTTTACATTATTAAATACATTGTTAAAATATTTTAAAGAAGGAATTTAACGATTCCCATTTGCTGGTCAGTTCCCAGTTGTTGTTGATTGTGCTGGATGGCCATCACACGTGATTGGCCCCATCCAGGTGGTGCCAGAATTTAAATATCAGGGCTACTCTGAGGGATGAGGCTATGAATAGCAGCTCCTAATTTCTGCTGCAGTGTATGGAGGGCACCCTTTACCAGGTCTGTCCTGGTGGGAAATGGAAATACAGATGCTTTTTGCCCAGACAAACCAGCATTATACACAGAAGGAAAAAGAAAAGCAAATCAGAATTTGCTTTCTTCTTAAATAGTACAGTTGTTGAGTTGTCCTTTCTTTTCCATTATTTAACATGCAAGTTCAAAGTGCCTGAAGGAATAAAGAACTGGTTTTTAGACAGCAAAAATGAGGCAATCAGTGTCTGAAACTGAGCTGGGCGGTCGCTATGGCAATGAAGCTGCAGGCAGGGCCTCCAGCCTGCGTCATTAATTTCTTCTCATTTGCTGAACTCATTGATCATTCCAAACTGAACTGGAAAGGGGGGGGTTGTTGCCTAGTAACAGAAAGGAAGAACTAAATGTTGTTTGCTCCAGTTACCAAAGCAGCCTCCATGGAATTCTTTTGTCCTTGAAGACAAAATTAAACCAAATTGCTACATCCTAGGGCCCACAGTCTTTGGGAAGTGCAGTAACTGAAAGGGTGAGGAAAGAACTGACATTAAAATTCAGCAGTTATTTGAAGGTTCTAGCAGTTTTTAAAAGACATTCATTTAACAAAATTCAGACTAGCTTTCTTGTAGATATGCTGAACTGTTCATTTTGACATTCCTTTACTGAATACAGTAGACAAGTCTTCCCTCCCAGTAGTTCCCCATTTCTAAATTCAGAAGGGGCCACTGAAGTTTGTAGGTCCCGTGCACAAAGTTGGCTGGGATCTCACAATGTAACTGCCTCCAGAGTGGAAATTGCAGAGAGACTCTTCCCCCTCCACTGCTACATACCACTCCCAAATCGAAAAAGAAAAGCTAGAACCAACTAGTATGGAGACAAGCTACAGGTTAGGTATGCTTTCATGCTGAACACTCCAGTTCTGAGCATTCAGGTTGACTTATTCATTATCCATTCAGAAAAGCCACATAACTCTTTTTCTAAAGAAATTCAGGAGGCGATATTCAGAGTCATAAAACAGATTTTGCAAACCAGATTAAAACAGCAGCTAAAAATATTTGCAGCTCAACAAATAAACCCCTGAAGGCAGAATTTTAAAAAATGTTCTTAATACCTTCGAAATCCTTTCCAGGTAATCCAGTCTCAGCCAAGAGAAGGCATAGCAACTTCAGTGGGGTGTGCATTTGCTTGTGACTGGCCTCAACCACATGCTGTTGCGTGTGGGGATTTTGCTCTCTTTTTCTTTCTTTTTGGTTGAGGCTTTTCTTTCTCTTTGCTTAGGTTATTGTGTTTGAGGTTTTTAACTGTTGTTTGTTCATTTGTTTAAATTGGGTGGAAGCTTGGCAATGGATTACTATGAGATAGATGCATAGTTGATTGAGTAAGCTGGTTCCGTGAGTGCTAATTAATGCCTCCTCATCCTCCTGGAGGGAGGTCTCAAGTGAAGTGCTGCAGTGCTGCATCCTAGAGCCAGTGCTCTTTGACTTGCATGTAGGGAGGGTGCTTAGCAAATGTGCAGATGATACCAAACAAGGATGATGCCCAACACCACAGAAGTCAGGATCAAGATTCAAAAGGATCTTGATAAGCTGGAACACTGGACTACCACTAACAAGTTAAAATGAAGCAGGGAAATGTAAAGGTCTTGAATCAAAATCGAAAATAGAAAAGGCACCAGTATATAGGATGGAGGAAATGTGTGTCTGTCTTAGCAGATCACAGAATGACTCAACATTGCAGTGCAGCTGCTAAAAATGCAAATACAGTCTGAGGCTGCATTAGCAGTAGCATAGTGTCCATGATATGGGAAGTAAGACACCCTCTTCAGGTGCTGGAAAAAATGGAAGGGTGGAGAGGAGACAAGAATACAGTCTCTGCCCTTTTCACCTCCAGCCTTCCCATGTTGAAAGGAAAGTTATGCTGAGAAATTGTGCCTGTGCTCAGCTGAATCAGGTTACGCTTCTTTATGCAATTGGAAATACAGGCTAATCAAGATACTTGTTTACACAAAAAAGCTATAAGCATGTTCATCTGAACATATTTGAATAGAATAAACTCTATTTTTCATTTGTATAGAAAAAACTCTATTTTTTCAGTACCTAATATGGTCAGTGATGCTATTTTAATCTGCCTTGGTCAGACTGTATTTGGGATACTGTGTCCAGTTCTGGACACCACATTTTAATAAGACATTTTTCAAACTGAGGCACATCTAGAGATTGGTAACCAGGATGGTGAGGAGTGTAGAAGTCAAATCCTATAGGAATAGTTGAAAGAGCTGGACATGTTTTGCCTGAAGAAGAGAATATTAAGGGAAGCTTTGATTGTGATCTGCACATCTGCTCAGAAACAATCACATATTTAGCTGGGCACATATAGATGTCTACTGTTTTTTGACTAACCCTCCAATTGGATAGATGTATATGCATATGTATTTAGCATCACAAATGATCCTAGCATTCCTTTCTCTTTATCATTTATGACAGGGCATCTTTGGTGATCCCACCATGCCAGAAGTCCCGATATGCCACCTACTTTGACGTGGCAGTATTACGCTGCCTGCTACAGCCATATTGGTCAGAGGAAGGCACGCAGTGGTCCCTGATGTATTACCTCCAGAGGCTGCGCCACATGATAGAGGAGAAGCCTGAGAAGCCACCTGAGCCAGAAGTCTCTCAGCTGCCGAGGCCCCGCAGCAGTTCTATGGTGGCTGCTGCTCCTTCACTGGTGAACACTCACAAAACACAGGTAGGAAGTGTGTTGCCGGGTAGGATTACTTGCAAGGGAAATATTCTCTGAAAAAAGCCCTTCTCTGCAGCTGTCCCTTTGCAGGGGCAAATTGAGTTTGACCTTCTCTACATGAGGCATTGATTGGCTGTTGATTGTCCCTCAGTCATGGAAGTTTTTATGACCTTTTATGACATCATTCCAGGCCTCTCTCATGATTTCCAGCCACTGATTGGGATTTTCTTTTAAAGCAAGGAAATCTATTTTCTTAGTTGGCACTATTATTCACTTACACAGGCCTAGTGTATTTTTGCAATTCCACTCACCACAGCACCACCTTGTGTTGTATAATGGAACATAAGGAAAATATAGAAAGGCAAAGCTTTTGTACTTGCTTGGAAAGAGGGTGTTTGAGATAGATCTTCGTGGTTGTTTTAAAATGTTGATTGCAAATGGTACAAGCAATCCTATACAGAATCTGATTCTTGGGAGAGGATCTTCTTCACAGCATGCCTCTGACACTTGGCACCTTGTCCATATTTTCCAATGGTCCTGTCATAAAACTGCCATCCTTATAATAACTTGCAACATCTTTTCTTCTGCCATTTCTATGAAAGCAACTCCTCTTTTTAGAAATGGGTAATTGTTTTCTTCATCTGATTCATTTGCCTTTTCTTCCATGCATCTCCTCCTCCTTTCCACTGCCCTTGCCTGCAAAGGAAAAATCATTCATTCTCCATTTGCATCTTAGAATCAGAGAATTGCAGAGTTGGAAGGGACCATGAAGGCCATCAGGTCCAACCCCCTGCTGTTGCAGGGCACCATCCCACTTAGATATTTCCCCACACGTACAAGTCCTGAAGGAACAGGTACAACTGACAACATAGCCTTGTTAATTGCAACTCATTTTATTAGCTTATTATGCACTGATAAAAAAATATCAACAACTGGGTCTTTACAGAAAGTATATGAGACAAGGAAGAAGCTTCAAGGGCATTTGATAAACATCCTCTGCACTGAGAATGAGTCATCAAACTGTTGTACAGTGAAAAGCAAAGCATTATGGGGACAACCATAAACAAAGCCCTTCAGACAATAATTTTATGTCAAACCAGTGGGGCCAAACATACATTGTAAAGATTAAGTGTTCATTCAATCACAAAAGAAGGAAGAGAGCTAGGCCAGGATAATTAAAGGAAAACCCAACACCCTGTTTTCCATGTAGAATCCAAGTTGCATTGTATAAAACTTCCCTTCATGCCTGAAACTCTTGGTTTGGGGAAGAAATTGATTAAACTTCTCCTTTGACCAAACAGCTTGAGAGTTTACTCCTGAGTGCTGCCTTCTGCTGCTGAGGAATTGTTTGGCAGCATGAGGGAAAGCTCATGTGGACAGCCCTCATCCCCAGTGGGTTTGTGGAAGAGAGGGGAGATTCATGCATCTCTTTGTTGTTTTTTCCACAAGGGCTGGGGTCCCTCTCTTTTTCTGCTGTAGAACCCTTTGCTTTTTCACATGCAGACAGTGACTGAAGTTTTTCCGTGTGAGATAGTGCAGGGTGGCATACAAATAGATAAGATAGGTCAGAAGCCTGCACAGAGAAGCTGTTATCTGATAGCTGAAAACTGGTTACATAATATTAGCATATTAATATCCATCAAGTTTGAGAAGATAATGCCTTAATGATAATGTTCTCTGAGGCTACAGATTATGGCTGCAGTGTCAGAGAAAAGTTCTTTGTCTGGATCCACAGAGAGGAAACAGCACTTCCATTGTCCATTGTCCATCATCTGGGGTGCAGCTTTGGGCAGGGCAATAACTGCTGTTCCTATGAACATCAGACACAATCAGCAGATTTGCTGCTCTGTTGTTGGAAAGTTAGCTTGCTTATCATATGTGCTGGTTATATATCATCCATATACTACTACTGCTTTCAGTGTTCATATATATGTAATCAAAACACAGCACCCACACACATGAGGGAGGCCTCAGCAAATTCATCATGGACATCTGAGGTTTGCAGAAATACCAGAGAGAGAGAGAGTAGGGGAACTTTCAGAACGGCCCTGTGCCAACTAACTGTACTCCATGCTTACAAAAAGCTGGCAGGCTATTCAGAGAGAAAAATCCTGACTACCCAGAAGAAGGAGAGTGCAATGCAATGGCTGAAATCCTGAACAGGAAGAACTCCATGTGACAACATTTTGTGAGGGGTTTAATTGAATATTAATAAAATTATTAAGACATCACAAGATTCCAAAGCTTTCTCGTTCACAGGAAGCAAAAAACAATATTGCTAGTGCAGGTACTGTCTCCAGGAAAGGGGAGCATGCAGTTTTGTAATGATGGTAGATCTTGTAGCTGTTTAGTCAGACATACTGATTATGGCATCCTGTTCATTGTCTGCCTTTCTGGGGGAGTGTAGGATCTCACAATGAAGTGCAATGAGGAAGAAAAATCTTTAAGCACTGAAGCTTTTGCCAAAGTGTCACTAACTAACCTACGCAGACCAGCAGTTCCAGATCTTTCCTCTGATTTGGGAATGAATATCTTTAAGAAGGTAAGAGCATGCTTTAACCTGTGACCTTAGAACAGACTCCTATTAATTTTTAGACTGAGGAAAATCTTACAACTCCCAGAATGCCGTAGTGAGGAGCCATGCTAGCTGAGCTCTGTGTAGAATTCTAAGCATGTGTAGAATTACACCGTTAATGTTCTTAATGCCTTTCAGTGTCCAGGTTTCAGGCTGCATGAACTAGAATCTTGCCACTAAGTGAAGGATGCTGACCTCACTGTACTAATGTAATGTAACTGTTGCCATCCTTAATTCCACCTAGTGTTTCTTTTTGGGAAGCAAAGCCAGGGCTACAACTGGGGCTTAAATGTAGTATGTGTCTAGGTTGAACACAGGAGGTTATCTAGTGGGGTCAGACTAGAACCAAACTAGACTTTGCTGGACAGGCATATGTGACAGTCTCCCAACTGATTTTTTTTAAAAAATAAAAAAACAACTATGATGGGCTGTGAATTTGACCAGAAGAACAGTGGAAATGGGATTGAAATCTTTCTCTACAAGCACCTTTTCTTTTTCTGAGTAAAATCCTCCTTCTCAAGATTCTCCACTTGTGGCTGAGGAGAAAAGCAGCTGAACAAAGATTTTTATCAGAAAAAAATGTTCTATAGGAAGAGTTAGAATCCTCTCGTGCATTGAAGAATGATCAATCACCACCACCTTTTGGGAGATTGTTATACAAACTCAGCAAGGGAGATTTGTTGGCATGGTTAACAAACCACTCACAACCCTAAACAGCCCATGAATTACCCACACAGGCACCTCACCTTCATCAGGTTTAGACCACAGAAGTTATGAACACAAGTTGGATTACAGAATGGGCACCCATGGGCACCTACAAACCTCACTGGCTTGTTTAAGTGACTGTGGCTCAAAATGATCATGTGAGCCAAACTGGTATGAAGAGTCCAGCACTAAAACTGAATATCCAAGAGTGCTACTGAGAAAAGCTCAGAACTGGCCTGGTAGAAACCAGAGAAAGAAACAGAAATGCACACATGTACCTGGAGGCTTTGTTTCTTCCTTTTTCACTGCTTAAACCTGCTTTACAACTATTCTAAGTTAGACTATTGGTGCATCTATCCCACCAGTCTGCTCTGATTGGCAGGAGTGCTGCAAGGTCTCAGTCAAAATAACATCAGTGGTGATAGATGCATTTCATGTGGGATTCATGAATTAGAGCATTGGCAAAAGTTCACATCTGAGCCCTTGTAACTTGTGCTGTCACCTTGTTTTCTTCCCATGTTCTTCCTGCAGTTCAAGAGTCGCAAAGAGGATCGTGAACGCAAGGGCTCCATTCCATTCCATCACACAGGAAAGAAGCGACAGCGGAGGATGGGAATGCCCTTCTTGCTCCACGAAGACCACTTGGATGTGTCACCCACTCGGAGCACATTCTCGTTTGGCAGTTTCTCTGGGATCGGTGAAGACAGACGTGGCATTGAGAGAGGAGGATGGCAAACCACTATCTTAGGTGAATAAGAACTATTACTCTAAGGAAGTGGCGCTGGTTTTTTGTTTTTTGCTATTATTTGTAGCAGTTTGAGGGTCTGATTTAGCATTTCTGTGATTTGCTTGGTTTTAATAACTCTGTTAGCATTTAGTTTCTGCCAGCAAAAGGCTTGATGTTTTCAGACAAACTTATTGATCCTGTCTCTGATACAGGCCAGATCCTCAAGCTCTTATTTCATTCATGGATTGCTGTGTCTTACAAGCAGTGCTGCATCCTAAATCCTCCGGCCACCAGCCCACTGTCACATAGCTCCTGCCAATGGTGGCAGGGTACCCAGACTTTCATGAGGCAGTGCTATTCCCATTCTCTTCTGTTTCTGATGAGGACAGCTGTCGCTCTCACCTGCCTTGTCTTTTTCACATTTCTATACTGTCTCTGTTACCCTGCCCAAAATTTGCAATTTGCTCCTGCCTCCAAAGATCACCCACCAAAATGATGGAAAATGCTGAACTGAATATTTTGGTCCAACATTACTTACAAGTGCCCCTGTTCTGCCCAGTTCTCAGGAAAAAAAGAATTATTTACATTTCTTTCCCAACATTCAGTCAATGGGGTCCTACTATAACCTGATCAATATGATTTAATACAATCCCTGGAATGTTTTTTTTCCTCTTCAAAATGGTGCCTCATTCAGTCCCTGATGCACTAACTATGACAGTAGCTCGTATATCAAATTATGGCATCAGCCAACTAAGGAAATGTCCACAGTTTGGAATCTGTATTGTGAAGCTCCACAGTAGAATGAATACCAGCTCCTTTCATTGTACCCTTATTACTATTATTACTGCTGTTTGCACTACAAACAAAATGACGCACTTCTTTCCTGTATTCTAGGGAGGTTTACCAGGAGGGGCAGCTCTGATACAGCAACAGAGATGGAAAGCTTGAGTGCTAGACATTCCCATTCCCATCATACTCTAGTTACTGATGTGCCAGACCACTCTAACAGCCATGGTAAGAGTATATTCAAAGAAAATGAGCAGCTACATCTTGGAAAATGTAAAAATGCTGAGATGTTGACTTGTACTGTACTTTTTAATTTAACAACATTAAATGAATATGCTATGACAGGTCTGATAATCCAAAATGTGCAAGCTTTTTAGTGACACAAGCACATCTGTGAGATTGTGGGGTGGCATCAACCATTCAGGCAAATGCATGCTTTCCTAGCTTGTACACCAGAACAGAGCAATGAAGTAAGTTTCTGTAGATGAATCTGGAATTCAGTAAGGATTATATGTTATTGCAGCTTCCTATGCCCAATAGCATTCCAAGACTGGGAAAAGATTTGCCAAGAAGGCAACAGTAAGTCCCTCCCAGGTCTCTCTGGATGATTAAGACACATCTGTGTGAACAGATGCATGAATCATTAGAACTGATGTTGCTAGTGGAAGACTGTAATTCTGAGAGTAGGGTCTCTATGTGGAAAATATAAGATGATGAACTCCTACCAAGTACTTTCTGCAGTGAATCTAACTCCATCTGTTGTACTTTTGCACAGTACGTTCTCAAATTTCCACCATCACAGTGGCAACTTTCAACACTACACTGGCCTCTTTCAATGTGGGCTATGCAGACTTCTTCAGTGAGCACATGCGCAAGATCTGCAACCAGGTGCCTATACCAGAGATGCCCCATGAGCCCCTGGCATGTGCCAATCTTCCTCGCAGTCTGACAGATTCCTGCATCAACTATAGTTGCCTGGAGGATACAGATCATATAGATGGGACCAGCAACTTTGTCCACAAGAACGGCATGCTGGATCTTTCGGTAAATAGCAAGGAGACAAAATAACTACTTTTCTGCTTGCAGTTGTATGGCAGAGATAAAACTCTCTCAAATATTTCCCAGGCCTTATTTAGCAGAGCATAATGATCATTCCAGTCCATTAATGCTCATTTAAACTCTCAGAAAAACAACTCAGTGTAGCATTGCACTGAGTTCAGAGTACTTTTACAGTGGTCTAGCTAAAAATGAAAGGAAAAAAAAATCTCTTCCTTAAGCACCTAGTGGCACCTAGTTTAAAAAGTCAGTCTTGGATTAATCAATATATCAATAGACACCTTCCTCCTATTTCTCACTTATGTTAAAAGTGTAAGATTTCTGATAGTATTAAGTTGACTGGTTAGCAGTTCATAGTACCTGAAACTTTGAAAGCACTGCCATTAGAAAAGTTTATCTGGCATTTCCATCTCCATGTCTAAAGAGGTCCAGAATTATATTTGGAGGGGGTGCCATCAATCAATTGCTTTTCATTAGGGGACTTGTTATGACAAAGTTCAGAAAACCCTGGGCTAAAGGATCAGATTTTTGTGAAAAGACATTTTTGTCCCTTGAAGAAATGCAAAATATGTTGCAGTTTCAACACATCTTCCCACTGGCCACTAAATGCTAGCTGCAGAGGATCCCTGTGGTACAACAGAGCCAAGGCGGACAGGGAGGAGAGTCCAGCATTTTTTGATCAGTGGGGATGCAGCTGTCATCTGCTACCTCCACCCCATTCCTATCCCTCAGCTGCTGTGAGCTACCTCTGTTGCAAGGCAAAGTGTTTTGGGGTGATCTGGTCAGGAATGGTAGTGAAGACAAATTGCTCATTAGATTTACAAAAGAGTTGCATTTGGTGGAGATAAAGACTGCTAGAGCTGGTTTTTTAATATGGACCAGTTGGCTGCCTGCACTTTTGGACCTTTCTGGAGCCATGACTGTGATGAGAGCCTGCATTTTACCATAAAGCTGTTTACTGTTATATTACTGCTTGATCCTCCTCTTTCTGTCTAGTGCAGAAAGGGCAAAAGTGGTAATTTAAGGTCTCCGTGTTGCTAGAAGAGAGACTGATGATTGCCAAACCATGAGATAATCAAGTTGCTTCCAGATGAGGCTTTGAGCATGCAATTACCTTGCATCCTTCATTGAATTTTTTTGTTGGGGGTGGGGGAAGAGCAGGCAGATAACATCTTCTTTGTGTTTTCCCAGATCTGCTTCCATCTTTTCTTTTTCTGTAAAAGAATTGTTGAGGAGGAAAAAGTGAAATAGCTGTACAGTGCCTTTGATTGTTAGGGTTAGGAGCCCTCTATCTCCTTCTGATTTTTTGTTCCCAGAGTACTCTTTTGCTCCTTATGACAATTTGTTCTGGGTCTGCTAGAAGGCAATTCTATCAGAAAACTCACTTGATGAGCCTTGACCTGCTTAGGAAGCCTTGTATAAATGGCATGCACACACACTTGATGGCCTTATAGGCCCTTCCAACAATGCTATTCTATTCTACACCTTAGTAGAGATGTAGAATAGAGCCTATCACATTTCTCCTTAATCCACGTTGCATAACACTACATATGAAAGTTCCTTGAGTAAGCACTATGGTAAAATAGCTCTTTGCTGCCAATCAGGATTTTACACTTTGTGTTTAAAATAATTCTATCTGCAACATTGTAATTTTCATTCCCCAAGGTGGTCCTGAAGGCCGTTTACTTGGTCCTAAATCATGACATCAGCTCCCGAATCTGTGATGTTGCCCTCAATATTGTGGAATGCCTTCTTCAGCTTGGTGTGGTGCCCTGTGTGGAGAAGATCAGAAGGAAAAGTGAGAACAAAGAGAATGAATCCACTGAGAAGAGACAAAGTGAAACCTCCTTTCAACTTAAAGGGGCTTTGAGTAGTTCAACATCTGGATTTGGGGCTGTCCCAATCATTGGAACTGGAGACGGTGGTGGTGAAGGAGGAGGAGGAGGAGGAGGAGGAGGTGGTGGTGGTGGCGGCAGCAGCGGCAGCGGAGGAGGAGGAGGAGGAGGCAGTGGAGGAGATGGAGATGGAGGAGGAGGTGGAGGAGGAGAAGGTGGAGGAAGACCTTATGAAAAGAATGATAAAAAAGAAGACAAGGTATGTTGAGGCTTCGTATACCAGGTCTGTATGTTATGTGGCAGCATTCTGATAGGTCCAGACTGTTGTCTTAGTCCTGTGCCATGGGTGTATTTAGGTACAGTGGTTAAAATTTTGCTTCAAGATACCTGCTGCTGTGTTCTGTAGTAGTATTACTGTCGTTTCAGTCTGAAGGAGGCTTCATTCAGTAAAGTTTGGTTCTTGGTCTCTCTCTCTCTAGCAGTGTTGTCCAGTCCGTGATAAATCTTGATTATACAGGAGAACAAAGGGCCTCTGTATAGGATACAAGCCCTTTTGTACTCTTGTACTCTGTACTTGATAATTCATACTTGTGCTAGGGTTGCACCATAACATTTCCTGGGGTAACCAGTAAGTATAGGCAAAGGACACGAGTGGGTGAATGGCTGGACAAAGATCTGGCTTGCAAGATGAAGGGAGGTTTGGGCTACATATCACTTATTTCCACCACCTCTATATCAGGAATCATGTTATCCTGAATCAGACTTTTGTCCACTGGCAGCAACTGTACAGGGTTTCAGGCAGGGCTTTATTCAGGCATACCTGGAGGTGCTGGGGCTTGAATCTGAGGCCTTCTGCATGAGTAGCAAGTGTTCTACCTCTGAGTTACAGCCCTTCTTTGAAGTTGATGGCTAAACAAACTCAGGAATTGAGATTCTGGAATGAAGACTTCTGATAATCTGACAATAGTGCTCCCCCAGGCTGGCCTTGGCTAGAAAACTCTAGGAAACTCTTTCAGGCATGTACATGGCACTTTTTTACATCGATGTGCTTTGAATACACATTTGGGAGAAAATATGCACTAATTTATTATTACTATTATTATTATTATTATTATTATTATTATTATTATTATTATTATTACATTTCTATGCCGCCCCTTGCCGAAACCTCGGGGTGGCTTACAACACAATAAAATACATTGAAATACAATAGAACATAATAAATTACCATTAAATACAAAAATACAAAAAATACACTGAGTTACAAATATAAAATTAAAATTTTCAGTATAAAATAAGTAAATAAAAATATAGGAGGAGAAAAGAGAAGGAAGAAGAAGTTGCCCTGGCCAGATCATATGTTTTAACAATTAAAATGATGTTTAAATAAAAAGGTCTTTACCTGGCGCCAAAAAACCAGTAACGACGGTGCCAGGCAGACCTCTTTGGGGAGTGAATTCCATAGGTTGGGCGCCACCACAGAGAAAGCCCTCCTCCGGGTACTTACTCTCCTAATTTCTTTCATGGAGGGTTCCCGGAGAAGGGACTCTCCCGCAGATCTCAAAGGGCGGTCGGGCATACATTTATACATGGAGTGCTGTATTTACTGCTGTTTCATAGGGAAATAGTTGCCTTATCTTTTCTTTTCCACTTTTTCAAAATGTATGGCCCTAAGGAGGAAAGTACACCAGTAAGTACCCACAGGCTGGCCCTGACAATGCTGATAAAAATTGTGAAGTCTTTGGGCTGCGCTTATGGCTGTGGAGAAGGTCACCGAGGACTCTCTGGAGATCGCCTGAGACATCAGGTATGGCAATGAAACAAGGTTGATTCCAGGACTTCATTTTTTAAATTCCAAGTTTTGTGCCACCCCTGCGTGTTAATGGCTTCCAGCATCCATCTAAGCTTGATTCTTTGCATTGAAGGCAAGTCCTTTCACCTCCAGCATCCTTAGCCATGAAGTCTTTGTTTAGCAGTACACTAGTTTAGCAGTGCACTGCAGCACTACAGAGCCCCCAAAAATCCAAGCATTCACATAGTTCATATACCTAAAGGAAGAAACCTATTTTTCTGGGAAGAAAAGTTGTACCATTCCTAACACAGACATCTATGGATGTCTAAGCATGTGTAGGATTGTGCCCTAAATGGCTTAGTCACATGCCTAGGGGCTCCCTTTGGAGAAAATTAATAAAATACTGTTCACTTTTTCCCATTTTCTGTTAAATGTGAGGACATAAAGGGGACTAGGAAGGCTTCATTTGATAGATTGTGCTCTGCAGGATTCAGTTTTGTAGGCAAAAAATATCACAGGGGCTTCCTCTGTCTGGAGCCTGGGCAGAGGCTTGGGAGAAGACAGCTGCATCCTTCAGCTGCCTAATGGATAGATAGAACATGATTGCAACCCATGGATATTTGATTGTCTAGGATCTACACCTCTTGAAGGTCTTGATGGCAGTGCGTGTGCGTGTGTGTGTGTGAGAGAGAGAGAGAACAGGAAAGTACACTAAAAAAGAATAATCTGGACCTGATGTATTGAAAGTGTTGGCCAAATGCTATCTAAATGAACAAGTTATTTACAAAGACAGAGCAGCTTCCCTCGGGCAATGCCCATTGCCTAAGAGGCACGGCTGCCTCTGAAGACAGCATGCTTGCATCCACCATGTCCTCCCTCCCTTGGTAACATGTAGAAAAAGAGAATGTATGACAAGACGTTATTGTGCTTTAGGTTTTCTTGCCCAAGTATCTCCACATGTTCTCTATTACTGCACATGACCATGGAAAATAGGCGATGATGTGTGGTTTCAGGCTTTAATGGCAGCCATGCACCTGCCACAGCTTGTTATGCCCCAAGTGTCTTTGGTGTTTTTGTGCAGTTCCCCTTCTGCCCAATTCCAAGCAACCTGTGATGTGACCAGAACCCAAGTATGTGTGATGAATGTTCTTAAAATCTCTCCATAGGCTCAAAACTGCCTCACAAAGTTGTACAAATTGGATAAAATGCAGTTCCGGCAGACCATGAGGGACTATGTGAACAAGGATTCACTCAACAATGTGGTGGATTTTTTACACGCATTGCTAGGATTCTGCATGGAGCCAGTCACAGACAGTAAGTACATGTCCTTTACAGGAGGTATGTTGCCACAGAACATAGGATCTGCTAATTTCAGAGGAATTATTGGTTCATATGTCATCAATTTTCTGGGGACAGTTTTTTCAGTTTGATAATTTTACCCTGATGATTTTGCCTTTTGCAGACAAGGCTGGTTTTGGAAATAACTTTGCTACAGTAGACAACAAGTCTACAGCCCAAAGTGTGGAAGGTATTATTGTTAGTGCCATGTTCAAATCACTCATCACCCGCTGTGCCTCTACAACACATGAGCTCCATAGTCCTGAGAATCTGGTAAGGAAGACATCTGCATTCATCCTTTAATTACTGAAGTTTAATAACATACATATCTTTAAGTTCATCATTAGCATGAGGAATGCTAATGTTACTGTGTTGGCATGAGCTTTTGTATTATTGCTGGATTGCTTGAGAGAGCATCAGATCTGTTAGATGTCCATTCAAAAAGAATATGTGGACCTCCACATTTGGTTTAACATCACTATATGGTTTTGCCTACAAGTTTTCAATTAGCACATATTTAAATTCTCAGCAAACTTGAGCTATGCCATTTTCCTTAGTGAAAATTCATTTGGGAAATAGCTTCTGGAATCTGCTGTGTAGTTCATAGGGTCTTCAGAAATTTAAATAATCTTACGTAGCACACTGAATGCTGAACTGACCTGAAGGAGTCATCCTTGTGTTGTGTGAATTGAGATTGCAGCTCTTGGAAACTCCCTTCCAGAGTGATCTTGAGTATATTCAGGCAAGTTCCACTTTGGTTCAATTCACAGTTTTTGAGAGTCTTGGTAATAAGGGTAGTAAATTAAAAATCCAATAGAATAAGTACAAGTCTCCAGATGTGGAAGAAATACATATAGGTTTATTCCTTGAAGTAGCCCTTCAAGAAGTAACTCCCCCGCCCGCTCTTGAGACTTTGACTGGTTCACACAATTTGATAAGCCATGGTGATTTATAAGCTGGGATGGCTTGCCATATTGTCTGATCCCAGCCAGGGAAATTTATCAGGTATGATAAATTGCTCCCAGATTATAAACCACCATAGCTTATTGTGTTGTGTGATGTTCCCAATATTTGAATGTTCCCATTTTGTCTGACCTCCAGAATTTAAAAATTAAAGGAGTGAAATGTTAAAAACATGATCTAGGAAAGAAATTGTTCTTCTGTTTCCTATTGTTATCACTGTAACACAACGACCTTTTGTTCCTCCTTTATTTCTTCCTTCTAATGTTTTGCATTATTTAGGGATTGTACTGTGACATCCGACAACTGGTTCAGTTTATCAAGGAGGCTCATGGAAATGTCTTCAGAAGAGTAGCTCTTAGTGCCCTTTTGGATAGTGCCGAGAAGTTGGTACCAGGGAAAAAAGCAGAGGAAACTACAGAACAGGAACCCAAACCATCAGGGAGTAAAAGGTTTGTATCTGGAGTAGAAAGGGCACAGAGATGTGTGAATAAGAAAGTGAGGCAAGGCTTACCCTGAATGCAAATGTGCCATTCCAAGCACGTCACGGAGGATCCAGCATTTGTAAGAAAAAAAAGCAGTACTGACAATGTTTGCTGTCTTAAAAATACATATAACAACTTGTTGATGTAGGAGTATCAAAAGGTGTGGTAGTGAAACACACTTAAAGATTGCACTCATGTTACATTATTCATCTGAAAGGTTGTCCTGCTAGACATGGTACATCCATAAGTCAGGTGTGTGTACATATTAATAATTAAATAGGTTAAAGAAGTCATAGGCTGTTGGGGATGAGTGGGAGAGAATAGGTGTGCTACCTGCTGCATGCTAGCCACTTCTGTGTTTAATAAACAGCCTATAATTCATAGGTTGCTGAGGATGACCTAGAATGATGAGCCAACAACTGACAGTTTATTTATTAGATTTATATCTCACCTTTTTCCTTCCAAGTAATTCAAGGCTGACACAATTCTCCTCCTCCCACTCTCAATCTTGTCCCCACAACAACAACACTGTGAGGCAGGCTGGGCTGAGAGTCTGAAGTCACCCAGAGAGTTCCATGGCTGAGTGGGGACTAGAACCCAGATCTCTGGAGTCCCAGCTCCACACTCTTAACCACTGCACCAAACTGACACTCCAGATACTATTTCCAGATAAATACTGTTACTGACTACACTGTTTTGTCTGCATAGATCCGAAGTAGGAACTGTTGTTATTGACAAAGGGCAGGGAACTTCTGCTCCTGATGAATGCCGTAGTTACATTTCGAGCCGTCCAATGCAGACTCCAGAGCAGTAAGTAAATATTTTGGAATTCTGCAGTCTATCCAGAGTACTCAAAAAATCTGGTGAAGATTCTGGTGCTTATAGATACCTTGGTCTTAATGGACATGTAACATCTTTTCTCTCTGGGGTCATGGTGGTGGTGCACATGCTTATTTTTACCTCAACAACCTTCTATATATTCAATCTTACTTCCAGCTAGCATTCCCAAGTGATCAGGTTGCATGGGAGATAATCTCCCCCTGATCCTTATTCCAATATCTCCAGATTATGTGGCCAAACTCAACTGGTAATAAGCAAACTTTATTAAGAAATCAGCAGAACAAGTCACACAGGCAATGGAGCAAAACAAAGGATAAGTAGAAAACAAGAATAAACCTATAAGCCATCTGTTTTTTGCTTAACCTGTGCCTCTGTCCCTTATGTACCAAACAAATCACCTGAGGAGTGACCTCTGTTCTGTATACACCATCTTCAGGGTTGGTTCCTGGTCTGGAGTGGTGTGGGCACATCTCTCCATGAATCCATCCTTCTCACCACAGGTTATAGCTCACAAATACTCAAACAATCACGGTGCTGGTGGCTTTATACTTGTCAGGGCCTTGCTAAGAACAGCAAGTGCACGTTACCATCTTGAATTGTTTATACAGTGCATATGTGTATAAGATAAGAGTAATTTCTGTGTCTTATTTTTGCAATAATATCTAATCAAGGCTGTAACTGCACATGCTGTCATTAGACCTGTGTACTTGCACACATTCCAATGAGACCCACACAGCTGCTCAGAAGGAATCTTTAGACACTGGCAAATAGTGCATCTGTAGTGAAGCAGGTGATTCTCATCTAAAGCGATCCACATTGCGATGCTGTTAAAGGGCACACATATTGAGGGTTTACAGCAGGGGTCTCAAACCCAACTTACCTGGGGGCCGCTGGAAGTAGAGTCTGGGTGAGGCTGGGCCGCCTCAAGTATTCCACCACCGCGGTGGTGGTGGGCCGCTCATCCCGCGTCGCTCCCGGAGGCCGGCCCGGGTGCCGCTGGCACTTTGAAGGCCGCAGGGCCCCTCCCCCGTGCCCCACCCATCCCGGCAACTGGCCCGCGGGCCGCGAGTTTGAGATCCCTGGCTTACAGAGATACAAATGTACAAGCTAGTTCAGGACGAATTAGCTGAGCAAATGGATTTGTTAGCACACCAGATGAGGATGCTCCAACTTTTGCCAAATTATGCCTAGATGGGGCAATTAGATGCATTTGTGGCAAAGCAAACAAACTATTTAAGACTGTGGGGAGGCACCTTCCCCAGACTTGAAGCATGTGTGTGCGTACGGGAAAAGCAGACTGGAGGCTATGATTTGTACTAAGAACAATACATCTTTCTATGGACTACAGTCCTTCTCTACAGACAAAAACTAGACAGATTCTCAACTTCTCATCTCAGGTGAAGAAGAATGAAAACAGGAAGACTTGATTATAGGAGGCACATTGCTCTGCAAACAAAAAGCCTAGTGATTTCAGTAGTCTTTTAGTGGTTCCAGCATGGAGCTTTTCCTTTGGGGAAAAAATCTATGGCTGGGTTTGGATGATCACCAGGAAAAGAAGCCCTGGACACTTCTCTTTTTCCTGTGAGGGTGCACACTGCACAATTTATTTAATTATGTAGGTATTGCATGGCTCACTATGTCATCCAAATCCAGCAATTTATACAGTGGGAGTGGTTTTTTGAGAGGTTTCAAAGCCACCCCTTCTATGTACCTGGCCAAGTTTGGACAATATGAGAAGCTGTGCACTGCAAAAGGTAATTGGACAAATTTATTTATTTAGTTATTTAAAACATTTGTATGCCATCATTCACTATTGCATTTCAGGATGGCTTCCATGATTAAAAGCAAAATCATAAACAAGCAATTCAACAATACAATAAAATTAAAATTAACAAACCTAAAACAAATAAATCCAATCAAACCACATAAATAAAAGTGACTGTAAATCATAAAAATACTAATTTTTAAAATAGCGATTAAATAAAAAGGTTTTAACCTGGCACCAGACAGAGTATAGGCTCAGTGCCAGGCGAACCTCACGGGAGTATTTCATAATCTGGGCGCCACCGCAGAGATGGCCCTGTTCCGATGTCTTTTTTACTTCCTTTAGTGGGAGGTTCTTGTAGTAGGGCCTCTCCTGCCAATCTTAAGGTATGTGGGGAGATAGGGAAAAGACACCATTGTGGCTTCTTTTTCCCCTATCTGTAATTGTGGAAATCCATGCTCTGAGTGATGTCAGTAGCATAACAGAAACATAGAAACAGAGTGAGTCAGAAGGGGCCTCCTGGGCCATTTAGTCTGACCCCCAGCTCCAGCCAGCTCCACTCACGACATGCCCACCATGTGCATGTCTAGCCTATCTTTGAACACCCTCACCGATGTGGCCTCAACGACCTCCTGTGGAAGCCCATTCCATACCCTTGGGGTCCTAACTGTCAGGAAGTGCTTCCTGGCATCTAAAATGAACCTTGGTTCCCTGAGCTTTGCTCCGTTGGAGCACGTCCTGCCTTCCTCTGCAGGGGAGAACAGGTCTCTACCCATCTCCATGTGACACCCCCTCACATACCTGTATGTCGCCAACATATCCCCTCTGAGTCTCCTCTTCTCCAGGCTGAAGAGACTCAGTTCCCTCAGTCTCGCTTCATACCCCATCCCCTGCAAACCAGCCACCAGCCTTGTGGCCCTACGCTGCACTGACTCTAACCTGGCTATATCCTTCCTTTAATGAGGGGCTCAAAACTGAATACAATTCTCCAGTTGTGGGCACACCAGAGTTGTATAGAGTGGTAGTAATACCTCTCTCGATCTAGAAGCCACACTTCTGGCTATGCAACCAAGGGTGGCATTCACCCTCTTAACCACTGTATCACTCTGCTGACTCATGTTTAGCCTGCAGTCAACCAGCACCCCGAGGTCCCTTTCACAAGTGCTGCTCTCCAGCCACTTATCACCTAACCTGTACTTATGACAGCTATTCCTATGCCCCAAGTGCAAGACCAAGTGCATCGGACAGTGCACTGGTCTATCCCAAAACTCCTCAGTTTCTCCACCAGGATATCATGGGGCACTTTGTCAAAGGCCTTGCTGAAATCCAGGTAAAGAACATCCACTGCATCCCCTCCATCTAGCCATCGTGAAACCTTGTCATAGAATTGCACAAGGTTTGTCTGGCAGGACCTGTTTTTGCAGAAGCCGTGTTGTGTGGCTGTCAGCCTCCCTTCCCTATCTAGCATCACTAGATCTCTCTCTATTATGAGCCTTTCCATTATTTTCCTACAATGGACGTAAGGTCTGTAATTCCCCATGTCCCTTCTACTACCCTTTTTGAAAACTGGGACTATTGATGCCACCCTCCAGTCCTTTGGAACTTCACCTGTTCTCCACAAGGCCTCAAAAATGGAGGCCAGCAGGCGTGGGAGAACCCCTGCCAACTCTCTAAGTACTCTGGGGTGTAACCCGTCAGGGCCTGGCGCCTTTGTAACTTGTGGTCTCTTGTGGCTCTTTTGGTCCCAGGATGGGGGTCCTGCTGGTCCCCCAAGGCATCATCAGCCCCAGCCTCCCTGGATGGAGAGAACCTGTTTCCCAGCTCCAGATCGGCTCCAGGAGAAGGAGGAGGCCATGCCGGTTTCCTCCTCCTGTGGGTGACATACCTCCATGTCTCCGCGGCTGCTCCTGTCGTGGCCTCTCCCTCAACCCTCTGTCCAGAGGGGGGCTGCTCTCCGGGGGGCCTGGAGAGCTCTCTTGACCCTCAGGCACCTCACCTCCTCCTCTAGCTGGTCACCAGGGCAAGTGTATCCCTGCCTCTCCTGAGGCAGAAGGGCAAACATGTCACAGCTGTCACAGTGGACAGCAACACCTGTGATTCCCGCCAAGGCCATCTCCTGGTCGGCTAGGAACTCTGCTGAGACCCTACCTTGGTCCCCCGCCTTGTCTGTCCTGCACTACTCCTCACTCGCCCAGTCCTCTGAGACAAAAACCCACACAAAAGGATAAATGAGAGGTACTGAGGGAAAAACAAAACAAAACACACAACCCCCTGCCCTGCCCCCAGGGAAGGGAGTCCCCAGGCAGCACAGGCCGCCCGGCTAAGGGATGCAGACAAGGGATGACACTGTTAGCACTGACAACGGCTGAGCACAGCCTTATGAGCCTCTCAGTCCAGTGGCCCCACCCCTCTGCTTCCACCTGGCCCCTCTAGCCTCCCTTCCTCTCCACTGCTCCTGTCCCTCTGCTCCTCTGCCCAGCTCCTACCTTGTTTTTGCCAGTCCCCTGGCCACCCTCAGCACTCTGTCCCAGCCTCTGCCTCCACTGCTCTTCCAAGAGGCAAGAGCCAAAAGGGCTTGCAGTGGCTGAGCGCAGCCTTATAAGCCTCTCAGGCCAGTGGCCCCGCCCCTCTGCTTCCTCCTAGCCCATCTAGCCTCTCTGGCCCCGCCCCCTTTCTCTCCACTGCTCCTGTCCCTCTGCTCTTCTGCCCACCTCCTACCTTGCCTTTGCCAGTCCCCTGGCCACCCTCAGGTCTCTCTCCCAGCCTCTGCCTTTCCTGTTCCACTGCTCTGCCAAGAGGCAAGAGCCAAAAAAGTGCCCTGTACTTCCTCTTTCGCGAGCCATGTGGCTTGGGAAAGAGGGAGTACAGGGCACCTTGGCTGTCCAAACCAGTACAGTTCAGAGAAAGGCTGCGATATCACAAGCTTGATAAACTGGACAAAATTCACAAACACTGGAAATGGCACTGCTTGCTAAAGGATAAAGACTAAGCTGGCCTTTCATTTGGTGTAACAAAGGAAAGTGGTCTGTCATGGTGGCTGTGCTTGCTGGAAACAAAGACAGCTACTTCATAGCAACGCATGTGAGGATCCATAGCCTTCCCGTTAGCCCAGCAGGCTCCTGGAAATAAGAAATGCAAGTGAGCCCTACAATGGGCAGACTGTAGTGGTTAAGGGAGAAATTCCTGAAAATGGGGGTGAGTGGGG